CAGATCGGAGGGGCTGAACTTAACTCTGCTGGGAACGCCTGACTTGTTTGGACATGAAGTAGGACCCAGAGAGCTGGCTGGAGATGGAGATCTAATACACTCTGTTTCCGTAGATAAGCAGGTTGGCAGCCAGAGTCCTGCCCCGGTTGTGAGTGTTGTCTTTCCTGCCTCCTCTGCACTGATGCAGCTCCTGCGACAGGCCCACCAGTAAGCCAAGCAGGAAGGGGGAATGGGGTTGTTTGTGAAGCGGCTGTTCTAAGTCAGACACTGGGTCGGGCTCTAGAGGGACTGTTTGCTTCACCCTTTCAGCAACCCTGATTGGTAGACGGGGAACCTGTGAGCAGGAGAAATGGGGTATCCTGCCCCAGGTCATAAGAGAGTGGCAGGCAGGATTTGGACCCAGTGCCAGCTGGCCCCCGGTCATTTGCATGTGCCGCACAGGCTTCTGAACTACTTCACTAGCGACCTAAGCGAGATTTCTTTTAAGAGTCTCTCAGTCCAGGGGTGCCTGGGTGGTTCCATTGGTTAAGCACCTCAGTCTTGATTTTGGCTCAGGTTATTATCTCACAGTTGTGGATTTGGGCCTCATGTCGGGCTCTGCCCTGACAGCACAGAGCCTGCTTGGGGTCCAGTCTTCCTCTCTTTACTCCTCCCCTGCACCTGCATGCTCATGCCTGCTCTCTCTCTCTTTCTCTCAAACAAACATAAACAAGCAAACAAACAAAACAGAGTTTCTCAGTCCAAAAATATTGTAGTGGGCTTGGGAATATTTTTGAAGGAGTCTTGGACAAGAAGCAAGGGCCGTGTATCAATCTGGATTCTTCAGAGGAACAGAATCAACAAACATGGATAGTTGTTTTAAGGAAATGCAGAGGCTGGCAAGCCTGAAATCCGTAAGACAGGCCAGCAGGCTGGAAACTCATGCAGGATTTTGATGTTATAGTCACGAGGCACAGTCTCTTCCAGGAAAGATCACTTTGGGCTCTTACAGCCTTCAACTGATTAGATGAGGCCCACTGAAATTGTTGTGGGTAAGGGCCTTTTATTTCAAGTCAGCTGATTGTAAACGTTATTTATAGCCACGAAACATCTTCACTGCAACATCGGGATGAGTGGTTCCACCAAACAGCTGGCACCATTGCCTTGCTAAGTTGGTACATAAAAGCAACCGTCATAGGCTGAACCAGTTCTTTTTTTTTTTTTTTAATGTTTTTTATTTATTTCTAGGAGAGAGAGAGAGACAGCGTGAGCAGGGGAGGGTCAGAGAGAGAGGAAGTCACAGACTGAAACAGGCTCCAGGCTCTGAGCTGGCGGTCAGCACAGACCCCGACGCGGGGCTCAAACCCACGAACCGCAAGATCATGACCTAAGCGACCGACTAAGCCACCCAGGTGCCCCTGAACCAGATCTTAATGTGTGCTAGGCATGGCACCCAGTACTCCCATGTGCACGTGTGCTTTTCGTCACCAAAATATTTAACAAGAGCATGAATTCAGAGTCTCAGAATGGTTCAAGTCACTTTCTAGGGTTAGAGCTAGAAGCTAAGTGTGTGTCATTGCTACTCTACCAGACTGCCTTCTAGAATCTTCAGTGTTAATCTAGATGTAGCATTCCAAGAGGAGTGAATGAAGTAACCAAAAGTCCCTCGGCCTGTCAGGGCTGCCTCCAGAACTCAGAGCTCTTGGCTCCCAACCTAGCCTTCTCACCTCACTATACTTCCCCTCTGTTCCTAAAGATTCTGCATTTGAAACACTCCATCTCCTGTAGGACTCACTTTCCAGATAAATAGAGGAGGCACATTGTGCACTCCCAGGTTGGTCCATAAACCCCCAGCAAGGGAAGGAAACCGTGTGGAAGGATCCAGACTATCACTGCCACGTCAGTGAGTGGATGTGTTCAGAGTCAGTATCCTGGGACCACTTTATTGATGAAACAACTTTGTAATGAGACCCATTCAGGACATCAATATCAGAACCTCTCTGAACAGAATCTGTAATGGACCTAGCCAGTGACAAATCCATCTTTGTGGCAGCTTGTGTTTCAGGGAGATTAGAGGGAATTTGCAGAAAGCACTCCAGAATCTGACGCTCTTCTCTGCGAGGGAAATAAGGCTTTTTCAGACTGCATTTTGTTAGGCATGCATGCTGCTTACTGGGTCTGCTTACTCTGGGCCTTGCAACATATCGATCAGGGTGGTTTGGTGGCAAGCAAGAGAAACCAATGGTAGGCAGCTGAATTAAAATGGAAAGAAATCAAAGGAAAACAAGACAAAAACCAGTCAAGTGGTACTTCTTATGGAATCAAAGTAGAATCTGGAAAACCAATACTTGAGACCATAATTAATCTGGGCAGCTCTGGGCTCCTCTGCAGCAGTTCAGAAGCCTCGGGGCGTCTGGGTGGCTCAGTCGGTTAAGCTTCCAGCATCAGCTTAGAGCATGGCTCAGGGCATGATCTCATGGTTTGTGGGTTCGAGCCCCATGTCAGGCTCTGTGCTTACAGCTCAGAGCCTGGAGTCAGCTGCAGATTCTGTATCTCCCTTTCACTCTGCCCCTCCCCTGCTCACACTCTCTGTCTCTCAAAAATAAATAAAAATGTTTTTTAAAAGTCTAGAAGTTCAGAAGCCTCTGGAGTACTGTCTGACATTAGGGCATGTCAGCTCTTAGGTTTTTGCACCTCTGTTCAAATTCCCAAGAGGGAGAAGCTGATTCACTCAACCTGAGTCAGGTGTCTGCCCCTGAACACTACTGTGGCCATGTGTTCTGGGAGCCACTCCTCCACACAGAGACGATGACAAAGGGAATTGTCTTTGAGCAGGCAGCCTGAGAAGTGGCCACCGTGACCGTGATTATAACAGTAATGGAGACAGTGACACGCGCACTCCTGGATCTCTGTTGTGGATGCGCATGCACGCTTTGCCCGTCCCTTTGTGGTTCAGCGCTACTGGCCTCCCACGCTTTTTCCAATTATCTTAACACAATTATCTGCAAATGCAGTCTTGGGCTTTTAGCATCCTGAGATATTTGAGACAAGAATGTAAGTACCAGGCAAGAAAGATGCTGCCTGTTCTGTCCAGCCTGTGTCTCCAAGTGCCTAGCGCGGTGCCTAGCACATAGTAGGTGTGCTCAGTGATTGTTGAATGAGTAGCAACTATCCATCTGTGCTGTGGGGCGGGGGGGGGGGATCTCCCCAACCCCTGCTTCCGTAGTCGCAGGGGCTCTGCCTGTAGACCTCTGTGTCCCATCCTCAACACCCAGAACCAGTAGACAAGGTATCTAGTTTTCCTGGAGGAAAGGTGACAAGCCTCAGTTCTGCCGATGTCTAATATGGGGTTGGTATAGAAGAGAATGCTTGGCCGTGGATGAGGGAATCTTTGGTGTTTGAAAACTGTGAAGTCATTGTTCGGAGAGACAAAGCAGGAGAGGAACACAAACCAAAGCTGTCTGACTCAGACGGCTCATTCTCCAACTAGCTAAATATAGCTTACCCAGATTCTATCTTGGTGTCATCCTCTTTGCGTCTCCCCAGAAATAGTGCCATCAGGGCCATATATGATTCGGTATATAGTTAACATAACACAAGCCGAATCCTAAAGAGTGAACTACAAATGATATGCAGAGCATTCTAAAATGATCTTCTGGGCCATCTCTCAGCCACCTCTACTCAAGGGGACACTGGTGCCACCCCTTAAGCAAGGGTAGCTTCTGAGACCTGTCCCTATTGTGACCTCATCATTCATGGATACCAAACCCTGCCTCATCCTTGTCAAACTGCGGCTCTGTGCTTGCCCCACGTTGGCCTGGGCTGACACAGTTACTTCCTGGTAGTATGACCATGACTGCCCTTTGCAGACCAGTCCCTGCTTATGCGCAGGCTCAACGCTGTGTTGAGTGAACTGACTTTAATAATACAGCGATAAGTTGCATTGCCATGGAGAGCTGCTGCTTCCAGTATTTTGCAAAATGCCTTCCAGTGCCTCAATTCCCCCTCAAGGAAGACTGCTTTCTCTACTTCGGAGATGATAAGCAAATAGTTGGCATTGAGACCCAAGAATCAGTGGTCGGAGCAGGAAGCCAGAATGAAGCAGCAAAGCTGTGGCCAAAAGGGCTCATAGGAAGATCAAAGCAGGGGATAATGATAGTGTTGTAGTAGAATGGTGACCATTTGTTGCTACAAGTAGCCACGTGCCAAGTGTGCCAAACAGTATTTGTATTTGTATTACCTCGTTCAGCCTCCACAACAGCTCCAGGAGGGAGAGATCATTGTCCCATTTTAAGGAGGAGGAACCTGAGGTAGTAAGAGGCTAAATTACTTGCCGGGTACAGCAAGACCCATCGTCTTTCTGTGTCCATTACTAACCTGCTGCTCTTCTCCCCTGCAACATGGTGGCCATGGAGCTAGGCAATGGGAGACGAATTTAGAAGGGCAAGAGCAGAGTCTCACGGGAGTCGAGCAGAAGGCCAGGGTCAAAGGTAGGAGTGAGTAAGAGAATGGAGAAGGTCCCAGCCTCAAATGCAATGCCAAAGCTCTATTGTATTAGGTGCTGGCTGCAAGGGGCAGGTCTGGCGAGTCTAAAGGTTCAGCGTCTGGGGGATTCAAGGGGTTGAGGAGTCCAAGAGTGGTGACCTAGACATGCCCAGGTTGGTGATCATCTCATCAGCTTTACGTCTGACGCCACCGTGTGGCCAGTGGCCCAGGAGCAGCGTGTGGCCAGCCCAGTGGCCCCTGCAGGCTGGGCTCCAACCCCCGCCCCCCACCCTGGGAGTCCTTGGAGACCTGCCTTCCGCACTTGACTCCAAGGCGACATTTCTTCTCTGGACTCCCGAGTGGTATTGGACTGGCTGCTTTGCCTCCCCAGGCCTCAGTTTCCCCGTCTTTAAACCGAGTTTGACTCAGGCTTTCTGCCCTCCACCCCTTTGTGTCAACTCCCTCCCTGCCTTCACGTGGAAAAGGCCTTTGCCCGCCATCACGAGACCCTGTCTCTGCCTGCCCTCTTTTTCCAGGAAGTCCGTCATCCAGCTTGACCTTGCCAGCACCAAGAAAGCGATGATCGTCCCTGCGTTCGAGACACTGCGCTACCGGCTCTCTTTCCCCAAGTCCAAGGCAGAGCTGCTATCAATGCTGGACATGGGGACCCTCTTCACATTCAGGTGAGTCGCCCTCAGTGCCATCCCTGGGGGGGGTCTGGGGCCTTCTAGGTCCTGGAAACCCAGGCACCAGAGCTGCTGGCCCAGCCATTTGTTGCCACTTTAGACCATTTTAAGGCCAGAAGAAGCACCGCTGGCCCCCAGCTTGGTCTTTGAAACACTCTTTCTCTTCCCACCTGCCGTGGGCTCTGCTTTGCATGTGGGTGGTGGACATCACGTGTCCAGATGGAAGGATCTGGTCATCGGGTGGCTTCAGCTTATTCCTGATCCTGTCACCTGTCTCTGAATTCTCTTTGGTTTGTTTGTTCCTTCATTCATGTGGGAGATGGGTTTGTCCTGTTAGCACGATGGCTGCCTGTCCCCCTTTTCCTTTTTCTATGAGTGGTCTTCCCCCAAGGTCCTCAGGCTAGGATGGGGCAGCTGACTTTCCTGTTGCCCAAGTGACAGGTCTGAACAAGTCTCTCACTTGCCTGATTTTCCACATTCCTGAAATCCTTCAGAGCACCGCAGGGAAGCAAGCTGGCCACCCGGCCACGGTGCCCAGGGGGTGTGCACACCTGCACAGGGTGGGAAGGGGCTCCGACTCCCGGAAACGGGCTGTGGCAATAAGTGTAGTGCCCTTGGGGGAAGTACGAGTCCTTCCTGGTCTCATGACAGAATAGTCAGAGAGCCACTGCTCACATTTTTACAGAGAAGCCTCCACTTTGAACAGTGTAAGAATGGCCAACACCACGTTGGAGTGAAAAATTAGACGTTTCTAGGCAATCTGAATTTTATTGAAAAGATTGTAATAATGGGGCGCCTGGATGGCTCAGTCGGTTAAGCAACCGACTTCGGCTCAGGTCATGATCTCACGGTTCATGGGTTCGAGCCCCGCATCGGGCTCTGTGGTTACACCTCAGACTGCTTCAGATCCTCTGTCCCTGCCGTTTTCTTCCTCTCTCCCACTCACACGCTGTCTCTCTGTCTTTCAAAAAATAAACGTTAAAAAATTTTTTAAATAAATGAAGTAATAAATTAAAAAAATACTGTAATAATAACTTAGGTTTCCATACTACCATTAAGTTGCCAGAAGTTTCTAGAAGGTTTTCTCAAACAAGCTTAATTTTGGAAAAGCAACTTCATGAGATAGGTTATTTATTCAGCAGTTTGGAGAGGATCCTTTTACACATTCTATGCAGGTAAACTGAGGAGTGGAGGGGACCTGCTGGTGCCAGGACTTGAACCCCAACCTTCTTCCTGTATCCAGAATTCTGGAAAATGACCTGAAATGGTTTAATACCCCTCCCCCCAAAACCAAGACTTCTTTCTTCTTGGAAAGAAATAACAACAAGTACCATTTGTTGAATATATAACCTCTGCCAGGCACTGTCATCAACTCATGGAATCCTCACAACAAATCTATGAGGAAGATAGCTATTATTCCCCTTCTACAGATGAAGAAACTGAGGCTCTGAGAGGCTAAATAACTTGCCCAAAGACACATTGCCAGTATGTGGCGGAGCCTGGATTCAAACCAGGTCTTAGGAGCTGCAGAGCCAATGCTTTTAGGTCTAATACCATTGGACTGGGTCCTGAATGTTCTTACCAATCAGTGTTAGAAGACACAGGTAAAAATTGAGTCTCTGAGACCAAAATCTTAGTCTGAACCTCCCACAGATGCCATAGCCTGATGGCTCCATGCCTGGCACATTTCCAAGGCATCTTTCCTTCCATCTCCATCCCCAGGCGATCTGAGAACTCATTTCAAGGCCACGTGTGTGGTCCTGAGAGCTGAGGTTTGGCCTGCTGCATCCATGATTGCTGCTCTGGCCAACAGCTCACAAAACACAAGGCCAAGTGCTAAATTATAGACCTTCCCTCTGAGAAGTTGCTTCTGTCACCTTCCCTCCAAATGATGACTTATCAGGTGAGAATCTCCTAGGTGATTCTGACACTCAGCTCAAGTCTAAGCACCACTGCTCAAAGCAGAGTGGCCCTAGATCAGCCCCAGATCTCTCAGAGGTGGCAACTTACACGTACCTCATCTCTGTTTCTTTGGAGGCTCCCTGGGGGTGATGGTCCCAGAGAACAAGCCCTGAAGTCCAGTGTCTACTGGACTCACGGTAGGTTCCTTGGGGGTGTATTCAGGCTGTGACGTGTTTTCATGGCAGGTGAACTGTAATGTCACCCTGTTCTGTGCTGACCAGCCACTTGCATAATTGTCAGTGTTCTGCTGAGCTAAGGGAAGTCACCCTCCCGCTCAGGGGGAGAGGACTGAGCCAGCTGCCCCTCCCCCCATTTCCTCTCTCTCACACAGGAGGCCACAAGTTTATATTCTAAGTAGGATGGCTATTGATCCATTGATATCCCGGAGAGCAAGGCCACTGTGAATTGACATCATAGTTAGGGCAAACAAGGGGAATAATGAGAATATTTTCATATTTCGAGGAATTACTCTACATCAGACACTGCTCTGGGTGCTTTGTGTGAATTCACATAGTTGTCAGAAATCTAGAAGTAGGTATTATTATCTGTTTTACCTAGAGAAAGAAATGAATCATAATAACTATTATTTATTAATAATTTTATCTAGAGAAAGAAATGAGGGAACAGAGGAATTCACTAAGTTTTCTATACCTGCTAAGTGACAGAATTCAAACCCAGACAGGCAGGCTCCAGAGCCATTGTTTTCAGCCGCCTTGTTAAAGTGCCTCTAGGGAAGGAGCATTTATTGAATGCGTGCTGTATGCTAGCACTGTGCCAAGCCCTTTATAAACATTTTCTCATTTCAGTTCCTCAGCACTTCAACAAGATAGGTACTCTTTTCTCCAGTGGATGCAAGAGGCAAGTGAAGCCTCGTTTAAATGCTTTGCTGACTGAGGTCCCCAGCTCCCAAGTGGCGGAGGTGGGTTTTGGACCCTGGTGCGGTGGCCCCGCTGTGCCGTGCTTGAGCCGAGCGCATGTTCACGGCCGCCAGTTGTGCTGGGCCGGCTCTCTGCAAGTCTCAGATGTCAAGACTGCCTGTTGGGCTAGTTCACAGATGGAAAATCAACTCCTCCCTGGCCTGATTTTTTTGAGTAAGCCTGACATCTCGCAGTATCCCGCCTTTTCACACTCCATTAAGGTGGTGTGACTCAGCCTTTCATTTTTCTTCCCATTGTGTGACTGTGGTTTTGGAGGCAGTTGCTGAATGGTGGAGCTGAGGACGCAAGTCCCTGCTCTCTGCCAGCCTGGCCATGTTGCCCAACAACACAGCCTACTGAAAGGCCACATGTTGGTCAGTGCCCGTGCAGCCACACTGGGGGATTCCTGAGACTTCAGAGGAGGGAACGAGGAAGCAAGGGGCCACCTCCCCTGCCAGCAGAGCTCCACCGACTACACGGATCGCCCACTCTCACTTAAACTTCATTTGCTTTAGAGGCGCTTGGGTGGCTCAGTCAGTTGAGCATCTGACTTTGGCTCAGATCATGATCTCATGGTTCCTGGGTTCGAGCCCTGCATCGGGCTCTCTGCTGTCAGCACCAAGCCCACTTCGGATCCTCTGTCTCCCTCTCTCTCTGCCCCTGCCCCACTCACACGCATGCTCTCTCCCTCTTGCTCTCACTCTCTCAAAAATAAATACACATTAAAAAAAACAAAAAAAACCAAAAAACTTCACTTGCTTTGGACCCTTCCTGAATAGGGGTGGGTGGAAGTCTTAGACCATGAGCTCCTTCCTCTCTGTAGCTCCCTAAGATGTACCGCCCTACCCTTCTGTCTCACTTCCATTTTATCTTCTACAGTGTTCTTTTTCCCTAACCCCTTGTTCTGGGGCCAGGTCTACTGCCTTCACTAGGCTCCCAGCCTCCTGCTATCTCTTTGTATCTTCCAGAAGGAGAATCATGCCCTCCTGTCCGCCCTCTGTCTTTAGTACCCCTCAGGTTTTTAGATTACTTGTTAGTTATTTATTCACCTTCGTGTCTGATCATTGACTGTCTGCTGTAGCATAGGCCAGAGAGTATGGGTAAGTATGACACAGAGAAGAGATAACCTAGCATAGTAGCTCAGGGCCCTGGCCCTTGAGCCAGGCCGTCTAGGATTGAATCCCAGCTCCATCTTTATTATTTGTAACTTGATATTGAGTAAGTTATACCAGTTTAAAGCTATAGATACAGTATTTATAATATAACCAGTGTATAGTAAGTGCTTAATAACTATTAGCTTGTTAGGATTGTCGTTCTGTGGCTGTATTCATTTGCTATATAACAAATTGCCACAAATTTAGAAGCTTTAAACAATACAAATTTATTACCTTCTAGTCCCTGAGGATGAGAGATCTGGGCATGGAATGTCTGGATTCTCAGTGGGGTCTCACTGGGCTGAAATCAAAGCGGAGGCAGGGCTGCAGTTCTCCCGAACTCTGGGCTCATGGACTTCCTTTCCTTGCCCTTGGGAAGGCTATGGTCACCATTTCCCCTGCTGGCTTTTTGCCACGTGGCCCCCACAGGTGGCTCACACATGGCTCTTTGCTCTCTTCCAAACTCAGACCTAACAGTTCATGTGATTCAGCCAGAGCCACCCCAGGAATTAATTAATCCAAAGTCAACTGATTGGTCAACTTAATTACATCTACAAGGATCCATTTTCCCATATGATGTAACATAACCACGGGAGTGATATGGCCACAGGTTCAGCCGCAAGGGGGAGAATGTTGTACGAGGCCAGGGGCACTGTGTTCTCTGGAAGGGATAACCAGCGTGGACTCACCTGCAGTTCATTCCATGTAAATGATACAGAGCAGTCCACGAGTTCACTGACCCCTTCATTGTGAGAGTCTGCTTGTTCATGAAGGATGTACAGGACAGGCTGGCTTAGTTTCCTAAGGCTGCCATAACAAATTCTACAAAGTAGGTAGCTCAACACAACTCAAGGGCTTGTGGAAGCCAGAAATCCAAAGTCAAGGTGTTGGCAGGTTCATTCTTCCTCCAAAGGAAAAAATCCTTCCTTGCCCCTCTCCAGCTCCTGGTGAAACCTGGCCATCTCTGGTGTCCCTTGGCTTGTGGGAGCCTCCCTGCCATCTCTGCCTTCACCTGCCTGTGGCATGCTCCCAGTGTGTGTCTCAGTATCCAAATTTTCTTCTTCTTACAAAGATACCAGCGGTTGGATTAGAGCCTGCCCTGTTCCATTGTGATCTCACCTTGATACATCTGCAAAGAGCCTCTTTGCAAATAGGTCCCATTCACAGGTGCTGGGAGTTAGAGCTGGAACATCTTTTGGGGGGACACAGTGCAACCCGCAGGACTGTATCCGCATAGACCTTTCCTTCCTTCCTTTTGCCCAATGGCTTTTCTCTGTGTGACCTAGGTACCACGTCTGGACAAAAGGCCATGCGCCCACAAACTTCGCCAAGTGGCGGACTGCCACCACGCCTTACCGTGTTGAGTGGGAAGCCGATTTCGAGCCATACGTTGTCGTGAGAAGGGACTGCCCTGAGTACGACCGGAGGTTTGTGGGCTTTGGCTGGAACAAGGTGGCTCATATCATGGAACTGGATGCACAGGTGAGACAATGGACTGATGGCTGTGGGGGAAGAAGCAGCCTCGACCTCAGGGCTGAAAGGGGACCTTGAGGTGAGAAAGCAGAGCCCCGAGTGGGAACAAGATGTGGTCAGGGACCAGAAGTGAGAAAATGGCAGTGCTAATTCTTAGGGCTGTTGATTCCCAAACCTTCTTTCTCTACCTTTGGGTAAGAGTTGGATTCCCGGCCAGGACCCAGGCAACTGTGTGTGTCCTGTGACAAAACATTCCACCCCCTATCCTCCCCAAGTATATTGATAAGGATGAAAACTTGTCACTTGGCATTAGAGCCACATAAGTGGCCCAAAACGTTCTAGGAGTTCGTTCCATATAAGTAACACACGGCATGTGGCTGAGGGGCAGCTCATTATCCTACCTTGTAACTAAAAGTGATGACTTTTAGACTGTATTTAGTTGTGAAACACTTTTCATTCATTCAACTAATACTTATTAAATACCTGCTTCAGAAAAAATCAAAATTCCAACAGGTTAAACCAGGAGTCTGCAAACTTTTTACAGAAAGAACCAGATAGAAAATTTGGGGGTTTTGTGGGGTCTACAGGTCTTCTTGTCAACTACTCAACTCTGCCTTTGCATTCAGCTGTAGACAGTATCTAAACAAATGAGTGCGGCTGTGTTCCAATAAAACTTTATTTATAAAAACATGCAGCAAGCCAGACATGTTGCAGTTCATCAGCCCCAAAGTTAAACAAAAGCAAAGCTAATCTGGTTAAGTTAGGAGAAGGATGCCTGGGCCTCTCAACTCCACTTTTTTCTCTTTGTGTCTGTTCTCCAAGGCACCTGCTCAAGGAGCACAGTGCACATGTTTCTCAACAGGAGCACCTCAAATTCAGGAAAAAAAGAGCAAGGTTGGATATGCTCAGTGCTGGCTGGCCTGAGAATCACCTGGAGAATTTTCCAACACCTTGATTTGAGAGCAGTCCCAAGTGGTTTTAATAAGCATCTAGGGTTGCAGACCACATGGGTAGGTGGAAGGTTCTAGAATAGTGTCCATATTTAACAACAGAAGCATGACCTTTGATATCCATGTTGTCAACAATAATTGGACGTAGTGTAGTGCTACTCACAGAAATGTTGAGTCTGCCTCAGCTTCTGCTTGAAAGAAAAGAAACATAATATCTTTGTACCCAGCATTGTAGCGAGGTGAACTGGTTCAAATACAGTTAATTTTTCCAGCACTGAGACCCGGGCTTTGTTTTAGGCAATTTTGATGGGACTCTTGAACATTTCTTGCTTGTTTCTCTTTCTTTGCCAGTAGCACAGCCAAATTTTGCCCTTTCCAGTGATTTAAGGAAATAATGAGGTCATACCTGACAGGTAATCCAGCCACACCTATTGGGACTAATGGGATCAGTGAGCTTCTTTGTCCCCAGAGGAAAAAATATCTCAAATAGCTAAGCTCTGGGAGTTCTTGCGCTTTCTTTTCAGGATTTCTTCTTATTCCTCCTCACCATCACCTGTCATTTCTTGCTGCGGTCAGTGTTCCTCCATCTCTAACAGCTACCTTTCTCCATTTTTAAAAATGTTTATTTATTTTTGAGAGAGAGAGAGAGAGAGAGTGATAGAGGGGTGGAGAGGGAGGGAGACACAGAATTCAAAGCAAGCTCCAAACTCGGAGCTGTCAGCCCAGAGCCAGAGGCGGGTCTTGAACTCGTGAACCATGAGATCATGACCTGAGCTGAAGTTGGGTGTTTAACCGACTGAGCCAGCCAGGCACCCCTGCCTTTCTCCATTCTGATTCAGAGTTTATTCTGATCTGCTCTGGGCCGGGAAACTAGATGGCCAAAGCTTACCAGACATTATGTCCAAAATCAGAATACACAGAGTCTGAGTGAAGGTGTGTCCGGTTCTCCTTCATTACATGTCCTTAATTTGTGTCCCCCATTTGGGCTGTTTGGAGGCATTTTATTTTTGGCCTGAGTTTGTATCTGTAGTCTGCCAAGCAGAGGCCACTGTATGAAGAATAGGTAGGCAAGAGCTTTGTTCCTAATGAGCTTTCAATCCAGTGGGGTCTTTTTTTTATTCCCTTTTTTGTCTCCTCTTGTGTTCTAATATGTGGAGTCTGTCAAATCTCAAGCCCTATGAGAAATCACATAAACAGACATCATTTAATTGAGCGACAGTCTCTCATGGCTCGTGTCATTCAAGAGCAGCCACATGGCCATGTGCTCACATTTATCAAGACCCTTTCATGGGTCATGAGCTCTGCCCAGCACCATCCATACATTAGTTGTCATCTTTCAAGGTAGGTATTATTACTTTTACTTTAACTTTATAGATGAGAAAACTAAGGCATAGAGAAGCCAAGAAGGTTGTCCAGAGTCAGGGAAACAGCCCTGTCCTGTCCTTCTCCTGCATGGTGGGCTTTCCATGGCACCACCCTCCTTGCTGATGCCATTCCCCACTTCATTCAGTCATTTTGTCATATAGTCACGCACTTGGGCATTCATCATGCATTCCTAAGGGTTCTTGCAAGCACTCACACCGCTCTTGTCTTCCAGGAATATGAATTCATCGTGCTGCCCAATGCCTACATGATCCACATGCCTCATGCCCCCAGCTTTGACATCACCAAGTTCCGGTCCAATAAGCAATACCGCATCTGTCTCAAAACCCTAAAGGAAGAATTTCAGCAGGACATGTCCCGCCGCTATGGCTTTGCTGCCCTCAAATATCTCACGGCCGAGAACAACAGCTAGCATCAGGAAGCCCACGACTATGGAGAGACCTATTCTGCAGGGGGAACGCCACTTGCTGTTTGGGGCCCAGCCTTCAAACTCAAAATCTGAGCAATGCTTTTTTTGGTTTGTTTTTATTTGTCTCTTTGGCCCAACAAAGCCACCCACACCACAGAGATCTGGGACAAGGATCCAGCCAGCTCCTCTCTGCTCTGCAATCTGGCATCCCCAGAAGGTGGAAGAGTAGCTCATCGACACAGTCTCTGCAAGAACGGGATGCAGGGGAGTTAGAGGGAGCAAAGGGGTTATCCTCCTAAAAAAAAAAAAACAAAAACAAAAACCACAAAACCGACCCGGTCTTTGGGGTGTTCTCGTTGCTTTTTAAGAAAGGGAAGTCAGGGTGCTGGGGGTTAGCCATCCCAGAATATAAAAGCAAAACTGTCTCTTTGTCCAGAAGAAACTTTCTTTTGTGTCCTACAGTCTAGCCACGTATCCAAGGTGGGAGCCATCCAGTGATCTGAACCAATTATGTGGAAAGACCCAATGGGGACATTATACCTGGTGGGACCTGGAGGTGGGGGTGGGTTGGTTCTTAACCTCAAGGTCGCTCTTGTTTTGCTTTGATTTGTTTCCCTTTGGGGGGATTTTGTTTGTTTGTTTGTTTGTTTTTGGTCTGGGAATCCAAAATCAAAAACTTGATCTTTTAAGTCTCTGAGGAGAAATCAGCTACGTCAGCCAACATCTCCTTATGAGCAGTGGCCCAGCAAGAAGGACGAGAGTCTTCAGCCAATATTTAAACATGGGCAGCCCTCTTCAGGATTCTCATTGAGGCCCCCATGACCTTGAATTCCCTACTCTCCAGAATCCCAGGGCTAGGATGGGGACTGTGGAAATAGGAAGACCATCCGTTCTACAACCGGTCACATTTTTTATTGGCAGTGACCGCTTCATGAGGAAAGGGCTCTGAAGGGGCTGTTCCGGTGCACACGAAAGGTACGAACCTCTCAGGCCTTTAGAAGAACTTTAATAATTCACACAAGCCCAATTCCGAAGATTCACGTGTCCCTTTGGAAACCTCGAGGAAGAACATGTTGGGTTCCTCCAAGTCCATGCTGCTTCGCTGTGGCTGGGAGGAGGTCACGGCCTTGGGCTCCCTCTGGGACCTGTCCAGAGGCCAGGCAAGCACCTTTACCATTACAAGGATTGAGGAGACACTGGACTTTTTACCCATTTTCTTGAATCTTCAATATTAATGTTGTGTTTACATTGATGAGAACGAAAGTCCACGCCCCCCTCTAGGCTGGGCTGTTTGTATTGAGTTGCAATGTGACCAGCGAACGCTGCATTCAATAAACGAAAGTATGGACTGTGTCTGCCCCACTCCCTCCCTCCACTCTTGTATGAAGCCGCAGAGACACACTCCAGGGTAGAGAGCAAGGTCGATAAACAGCAACTTTACACTTTGTGTTCTCCCATTTGTTTTTCTCACCATTTGAACTTCAACCTTGTTTTCTCCTTTTCTGAGGTTAGATCTCACCACACCCTCTGACCCGCGAAACATCTTCAGGGTCTCCATCCAGCTTCTGTCTCGGCACGGAAGCCAGATGTCTTATATCCCAGATGCTAGCACGTTAGATCCTGGTTGCCAGTAGCGGAGTGAGCCCCCAACCCTCTGTCCTGGGGGCCACATGACACCCCACTGCAGTCTGACCCATGAGACCCTTCCATGTGTTACATGCTCAAGTGGAGATTTCACTCAGGTTGGTTTTAAAAAACTTAGGAAAACAATTGTTAGGACTCACTCTCACACAGATATGGATAAGTTTGTGTGTGTGTGCATGTGTCTGTGTATTCCACAGTATTACATATATATAGCATATAGGTAGCATGCATATCACAAAATTAATACATGAATACTGTAAAAAGTAGAATATTACAAAAGTATTCAAATTACAAGGTAAAGTCCCTTTTCTTCATAGGTATGTGAGAGCCAGCCCCTACCAGCTCACGAGAACTTACTGTGCACATCTCTCTCCAACTCTTGTGTTTGAAATTAGCTGTGATGGAAGTATCTATGCCATAGAAATCTGAGAACCACGGGGCGCCTGGGTGGCTTAGTCGGTTAAGCGTCCGACTTTCGCTTAGGTCATGATCTCGCGGTTCGTGGGTTCGAGCCCCGCGTCGGGCTCTGTGCTGACTGCCAGCTCAGAGCCTGGAGCCTGTTTCAGTCTGTGACTCCCTCTCTCTCTGACCCTCCCCTGCTCACGCTGTCTCTCTCTCTCTCTCTCCTAGAAATAAATAAAAAATCTTTAAAAAAAAAAAAAGAAATCTGAGAACCACAAATCGGGGCACTCTCCCCTACCAAGAGCTGGGTGTTAAACATTTGCCAGCACACTAGTGCCTTTTCCTCTTCACTGTGTACACACACACACACACACACACACATATGTACACACACACGTACACACACGTACACACACACACACATTCACTCAAAAACTCTTCTAGAGAAGTCCATTGTTAATAGATGTAATTTTTAATTAATCAGTACCAGCTACTTGAGCCAAGAGAAAAATGTACAATAGTACTAGTTCTTTGATGTTAAAAATCAATTTTTAATTCTCTAAAGCCTTTTATTTTTTAAATTTTTTCACAGCCTCTGGATCCACCCAGCCACCTTGCTTTCACTTGCGATTCTATGGGTATAGTAGTGACCATATCACTTACCATGCAGACTGGGTCACCTCTGAGAAGAAGAGAAGGTACTAAGTACTTTGAGACAATAAGTATAAATTGGAGGATGCTGTAGCTGCATGCACACTGAATTTATTAAAGCCAGAAACTGACTCTCCACACCCAACAGGAGAAAACCCTATTATCCCAAAGACAGGTGCCTGACACAGTGAAGCCGGTCTCACTTGAGGCTGGAGCTCAGATGCTGGCTAAGGCCCAGGATCAACACAGAGGCTGCCAAGTCGGTGGAGGCTGAGGTCTGCAGAGCCAACAGAAAGAATTCCCAGAACTTCCCTGGGAGGAGCAGCGCACTGCGTGCCCCAGCTCCCAGTTCAAGTGTGGGGGGCGCTGCCTATGGGCAGCGGCAATCACTACCGATGTGGGTTCCTTAGTATCAGTACACCAGGGCAAAACAAGCTTATAAATGGGCCACGCTGATGTTTTCATGCCTAAAGAAGCCAATACCATCTTGGCTTTCAGCTGGGAGGAAAGAAAAGTTCCTCTCTTCTCACCCCCATACTATTCTGTGTCTGGAAGAGCTAAGATTTATTGAGTTACTACTGTGTCAAAGGGCCTTTTGCATGCATTAGCTCATTGAATCCTTGAAACAAAGCTGCAAAATGAAAATTACTGCTTATAGATGAGGAAACCGAGGGAGCTCTGGGAAATTAAGTAAGTTCCCTGAATTCACATCGTCAGTATATGGGAGAACCAGAATTTAAACCCATGCCTACTTGGATGGATCCAAAACCATATAACCTGCAATGCTGCTCCCTTTCCCAGTAAGAAATAAATAGTAAATATTGGCTGATAAGAGCATTTGAACCTATATAGGAAGAGTATTAGATTTCTAGCCTTTTTCCTTCAACATCCATCCAATAACAGTCTAGACAGCAATCTCTCCTAGATGCTCCAATCTTGCTATGCTCATGGACTTTCTGAAAATTCATTTGAAATAGGCCTGGCAATCTATAGTCATATTTAGACATGGCTGGGATCAACTCTAGGAAGCAGTAATTCATTCCCTGAATGCTTCTCCTGGGTTACCTCCTAGATTTCATGGCACAGGTAGAGACGCTATGTTTTAATCTCACCCTTAGACCTGAACTCAGCTTGCTGCTTCAAAGTGATCTCTCTGAATGTGTTGAGCTGATTTACAGAGCACATATTTGCCGAGTTGACTAATGGCTTCTTTGTACCCCATCATGAAAGGACAGACCCTACTTTAATTCTGTTCCTTTCAAAGACTCTACTGTCTTTGAGTTAAGGCTTCATTTGTGGTCACCCGGCCTTTAGGGAGCTCTGTGTTAGTGGAAGAAACGTGATTAAAATCCCCTCCAACACGGCTCCTGCACACTCTCAGGAAAGATAATAAGAGCTACCATTTACTGAACTAAGACTTCTATGGTAGTTGGCACGGATGGGTCTTCACAGTGGCATCATAATATGAGGAAACTTTGACTATCCCTACTCTTCAGCTAATAGAACCAACCCTCAGAGCAATTATGTGAGTTGCCCAAAATCACGCAGGTTGTTCATGGAGGTTCTGGAATTTTTTGAGCCAAAATTTGGCTGACTTCAAAAACGAACGTCTTTCCACTCTGTGCTGCTGTCTCCCTGTACAACACTGAAATCAGTTTGACTACAGGCTTATGCAGCCACATCGTCATGTAGTTCATGGTGATAGGCGTTTTTATTTCTTGCTGTTTTAATCCCAAGTGTTTATTTTCAATTTAATGCCATTGAAGTTTATGAAATGTCAGTTGTCCACTAAGTGCATTCTAAGAAGTTTTCAGACCCATAGAATCTAATGTCAGAGAAACCATGATTATTGTTATCATTCGTTTCTACTAAGAACGTTCTTAGTAAGAACTCCCCACCCCTCAGTTTCCAGGAATGATTGGTGATATCTGAAAGGAGATAATGGGGCACCACAGAAATGCTGCGTTTCTGATTGTGACTGTTTGATGGAGTTGGCCCTTGGTTTTTTCCAAAACATTCAGATAGTCTTGAGAGATGGTGTTTTCTGGAATGAAAGGAGGTCGGTCAGTTTTGGGAAATGTTTCCCAAGGTTTGGGACCAATGAGGCTGGGACTTGCCCAGAGCAGAACTCGTCAGGAGATTCCTGGGTACATTATGCTGCTGAAATTCTGAAGAAAGGAAGGGCTTCAGTGGCAGTGTCAAAGCAATTTCACTGTACACTCTAATATTTCTTTCTGCATTCCACAAAGAATTTATGGGGCATCCACTGTGGATGTGCACCGGAAATGCAGCAACAATCTAGGCACAGTCAGCTTTCAGGTAATACAGTTACCTGGAGAGCTAAAAAGCACACGATGCTAGGATAGGTTTCATTTTATTACATTCATGTCAACAATTTTAGGGTTTTTTTTTTTTTTTGGTATTTTGTTTGTGTTTTAGACAAAGAGCGCATGAGCAGGGGAGAGCGACAGAGGGAGAGACAGAGAATCTTAAGCTGTGTGTGGAGCCTGACTCGGGGCTCTATCCCACAACCCTGGGATCATGACCTGAGCTGAAATCAAGTCAGATGCTTAACTGACTGAGCTACCCAGGCACCCCGGTTCATTTTTATTTTTAAACTTACATATAGAAGAGTTTTAAGAATAATACAAAGAACTGTATACCCTTCATTTAGATTGACTGATAGTTAACATTTGACCACTTAGCTTTATATCTGTCTATTATATTGTTTCTGGAGCCTTTAAGAGTAGGTTATACATATCATACCGTTTTAAGTCTAAATACTTTAGCATATATTTGTTTTAAAGGACATTCTCATTTAACCATGATGCAGTGATGAAATTCAAGAAAATTTTGCTACAGTACGATCATTTAATACACAGCCTACATTCACAGTTTGCCTTTTGCCCTAGTAATTTCTGTGTAACAGTAATTGGGTCCATTCCACCCCTAACTCCAGGGTCCAATCCAATCTAAGACACATTGCATAGTTGCCTACAGTCTCTAGTCAGGAATAATTCCTGGATCCTTTGCACTTTATGACAATGACATTTTTGAAAAGCACAGTAGTTCAGTGTTTTGAATGAGAAGTAGGTATACATATACAAAGCAATTCATAAAATAGGTACATATGCATGTGTGACTTTCTATATTCATTAATATTATATAGCATATTATGTAACATAAAATTATATGGCAAATAGTGTTAAAGAAGCCAGTCCTCAGGAGGTTCACCATCAATGTGTGTGCATGTGCATTAGTGAGATGGTCCAATAGGTGGGATGCTGTGGCAGGCAGCACATATGACCATGGTGACACATCATTAACCCCACTTAGTTATCTTTTCACCAGACCACGAAAGTGATCATTTTCTTCTTACTTGAAAGTTAAGTAGCGACTTTTAAGTTACACTCATTAGCTGAAATGCTTTGTGTTAGGATGAATGTGGATGTTAATGTGGATGTAAATGTGGACATTTTTAGCTCAGTTTCTCAGATCTACGAGGGAAAAAGATAAAACAACAATGCAAGAATTCTTACCTTCCTCCCCTGACTTCATTATATATGGACCCACATAAACCAGCTCATTAATATTTTCAACCTCCCCAAAGATTATTTAATACCTAGCTAGAGCTGTGCAGCTGGGTTGCCTTCTCC